CAGACTGCCAAATGCAATCCTGATCATTTCCTGTAATAAACCCAGAATACACTTAGCTCTCCGGGCTCTTCTTTTTCCATGACTGGCCTACAGCGCCACGTGGTGGTTAACACTTAGAGATATAGAAACAGAGTGAGTCAACCGGCTCCACTCGCAACATGCCCACCATGTGGACGTCCAGCCTATCCTTGAACACCCGCACTGATGGGGCCTCAACCACCTTCTGTGGAAGCCCAGTCCACACCCTCGGGGTCCTGACTGTCAGGAAGTGCTTCCTGGCATCCAAATGGAACCTTGGCTCCCTGAGCTTCACTCCGTTGGGGCGCGTCCTGCCTTCCTCTGCAGGGGACAACAGGTCTCTACCCACCTCTGTGTGACATCCCCTCACATACCTGTATGTCGCCAACAGATCCCCTCTGAGTCTCCTCTTCTCCAGGCTGAAGAGACCCAGTTCCCTCAGCCTCGCCTCATACGGCATCCCCTGCAAACCGGCCACCAACCTTGTGGCCCTGCGCTGCACTGACTCCAACCTGGCTATATCCTTCTGGTAATGAGGGGTCCAAAACTGAACACAATACGCCAGTTCTGGGCGCACCAGAGTCGTACAGAGTGGTAGTAATACCCCTCTCGATCTAGAAGCCACACTTCTGGCTACGCAACCAAGGGTGGCGTTCGCCCTCTTGGCCACCGCATCACACGGCTGACTCATGTTTAGCCTGCAGTCAACCAGCACCCCGAGGTCCCTTTCACAAGTGCTGCTCTCCAGCCACTTGTCCCCTAACCTGTGCTTATGACACCCATTCCTGTGCCCCAAGTGCAAGACCTCGCACTTACCCACATTGAACGCCACCCCGAAGAACCTTCTATGCCTGAATTTCCCAGACTACCAGGGGGCACCTTGGTCGTGCTGTGAGAGATGCTCTCACGTGCTTACCCCAAGAGAGAAATCAGAGCATTATTTTTTCAATGAATTTTTAAAATTAAAAGCATCCACACACGCTCGATGGAGGCTGCTGGTGGGACCCCTGCCTTGCCTACAGATGGGCCCAGCTTCGTTCTTGGCACCTCCAGGCGGAGCCGGAAAAGATGCTGCTGGAAATTCTGGAGAGGGGTTTCCAGTGAGTGTTGAGCAGACCGGGCTGGATGGACGGGGGAGCTGGGTTGGGCGAAGAGAGTTCCCCAAGTTTTCCGACAACAGCCATGCGGTGTTGCTCCTCCTCTTCACCCTTGCCGCCTGCTGTGCGCCTGACCCCGTGGTGTTCAGAAGCAGGAGCTCTGCTTTCTCTGAGCTGCTCATCTTTCCTGTCTTACCTTGGATTCATCCTGGGCATTGATGTGTGTGTGTGCAGCGGCCTTGCTCAGGGTTCCCCGCAAACCTTTAGCCTGCACTTCCACCGCGCCAACACTAGAGGGCAGAGTAGGATTGTTGCATCTGCGATTGTTCTGATGTTTGGTAAGGAACATGCTCCGAATTAGGATGGGAAACAAGCTCCCACGAACAACTGAATGAGTACTGGAGCAGGTCCATTAGCCACAGACTGCTGAGGAGGGTGGAATTGGGGTGAGAATGGATCAACGGCCCAGCTAGCGGGAACCACGAAATGTTGCTGGTCCAAACTTACTGGCTAATAGGGGTTCTGTCCTCAATCGTGTGCGTCAGCAAATTTGTCTCTTCCAGGAAGCTGTTCTTATTTCATCTGGTATTATTTTTCCGTGGAAGATTGTCCCAGATGATAAAAAATATATTTCAAAGATCTTGCAGTCTAGCACTATAGGAAAGGGGAAGGGGGAAGGGCAAGATGAACTGAAGAAAGGCTTGTGACTTTTTGATCTAAACATTGGGATTTGGCAGTGAGACATTTTCACACCCACCTATCTGAGGACTGGATAGCTTTTTTTTTTTGGAAACTTTGCTGCCTCGTGGACCTTCCTATCCATTAAGAAAGTTTGGAAAAACCATGCTGGATTAGCAGACCAACTAGTCCGGCAAATCCAATGGATGCTTCCAAGAATCTCACAGGGTTTTTTTCCCCTTCGGGGTTGGTTTGAGTTAGAAACATAGAAACGAAGAGCTAGAAGGGGTCTCCCGGGCCATCTAGTCTGACCCCCAGCTCCAGCCAGCTCCGCCCACATGCATATAATTAGGTGAGAGCTGTTTTGAAATGGTGCATCTGTGCACTTTTGCTCAGCTTTGTGACCTTTCTCGAGTCTTCCCCATGCTGAGAGAACCAAGGCACTGCCCTTGAAATACCGTGGACTACAGTTCCCAGAAGTCCTGACCACTCCCTATGGGGCTGAAGCTGATGGGAGTTAAAGTCCAACAGATCTGGAGTTCAGCGGATCAAGGGAGGCGAGTGCAGAGGTTGCCCTGGGCTAGAATTTGGGAGAGCTGAACTCAAATTTCCATGAGGTTCACTAGGCAACCTTTATTCAGTGACCCTCTTAAGTTAAGACCATCTTGTAGTGATGAAAAGTGAGGGAGAAGCCCCAAGAGTTTTGGGGTGGAAAGGAACCTACATAATCCTAGTAATAAATGCAAGTAAAAAGTGAGACCTTTCTCCCCGGAGCAAAGTTTGGGGCACGGATGACTTTTTTTGACGGCTGGCGACATGCTGGACTGGCTTTCCAGATCGTGTTGGGCTGCAGTTTACTTCATCCATGGCCACTGGCCAAACCGGCTGGACTGAGAGCCTTGCTACAGTCTCCCTGGCCCTTCCCATGGGCCCTCATGTGGCTACTCAGAGGCAGGGAGAAAGTTCTCTGCCTGTGCACAGAGGCACCCTTGCCTCAGGAGCAATTCAGGGTTGCATTTCCATCCAAACTGTTTCCATGGTTCAGAAACACCACTTTTCTCAGGGGCAACCGGAGCTGGGCACACACCAAGGGCCCCTTCCCCACCAAAAACTGCAGAGGAAGATGCCCTGAGGCCCTTGCAGCCGGCTCTCTGCCTGCCCAGCGAGCGAGCGATGAGAAAGCGGACGAGAAGCAAGAGTGACGGCAGTGGCGAGCTGGTGGCTGCCTGGCCGGCCGTGCTGAGGGGCCCTCCAAAGCCCGCAGCGCGCTGCCTCTGGCTCGTCCCGTGTGGCCCCGTCTCCCCTGGCAGCTTGAGCGTTGCCCTTTTAAGAGGACACTTCTTGCTGCTTGAATGGGTTTTGGAGTCCAAGCATGTCCATTGTTGCCAGTGTTCCCGTCCCGGGCAGCTCCATTGTGCGCCAGAAGAGCTGGAGCTGGGCGGGCAGCGGGCGGCAGGCTTCTGAGCAGGAGTTTGCCGCTCGCGGCCCTTTTGCGGCGGGACCCCACGCCTGCAGGACCGGGGCGCAACCGGAACTCCCAAAGGCAAGTATACCTAGCTGCAGGGACCACCTCTGCCCTTTTGACCTCGCCCCACTGCCACCGACAGAGGGCTCTCCGGGCTGCCCCCTTCCTGCCCCCCACCGCCCAGCCCTGCCCCTGTGCTATCTCAATCCGGAAGGATTCAGCAGCTGGGGTGTAGGGAGGAGAAGCCTCCCCAGTTTAGTAAGGGGCAACAGGTGGCGCCCCCACTTAACGGATGGGTTGGCACAGGGCCTTTCGGGGACGGCACCGGTCCGCAAAAGTTTCCCCAGGAGGCAGGAGGGTCTTTGGGGGCTCAGGGACGCGGGCGTGCGCCTCCTCTGCTGCCGGGAGGGTGCCCGCCCCGGCGCATGAGCAGCACTCTCGCAGGCCCCGCAGCGAGAGAGCGAGTGGGTGGGGGCTTCTCCCGCCACCCCCCCCCCCCCGTGGCTCCCCGCTGCCTGCGAGCGAGCGCGGCATTCACTTGACCGTTGCTGGGACACTCGTCTCCACGGCAACGTCCGAGTGCCTCGGCCAGGGTGATTATTTAACCGAACTCCCAGCTCCCCGAGTCCCCGCGGCAGCGGTGGCGCCGGGGGGACGGTGGGTGCTCGGGTGCTCCCGCTCCGTGGGCGCGCTTGGGGAGCAGGCTGGGGCAGGGACCCGAAAGGAAAGTGCCTGAACTTTTGCTTTTGCAGGTCTGGGGACGTCGCTTGGACTGGCTGGCGGCCCAGCGGTGACAGCGCCGTGCTTCCGAGGGGCCCAACGGCCCATGAGCATCCGTGTTTCCGGGGTGGCAAGAGGCATGGGACGGAGTGCAGTGTTGTTCGTTCTCCCGCTAATATTGCACTTGTCCCGGCCTCCTGCTGTCCTGGGCTCACCAGCTGGGGACAAACCTGCCGGCCAAGTGACCCCTTCTGCACACCTTTGGGATACGGAGTCACGGTGGGCTTTTGGAGACTGCAGAACGGTGGAAAAAGACAACAGGACAACGTGAATTCATCCGGTTGATAAAGAAGGTTGGCTTTGGTCAGGAGAAAGATTCCTTGTGGGGAGTGGATTCTCTTGCTACAGCCAGAAGGAAAAATGTGCAGCAGCAGAAAGGAATTAATAATAATAATAATAATAATAATAATAATAATAATAATAATAAATCATTACTTTAGTAATAATTATTTTGAGAATGCTTTCCTTAATGCTCAAAATGCTTCTGTGTCTCAACACAGAGTTCAGATTCTTATTTTTGAAGAAGAAAAAAAACCCAAAATGCAGTCGGTGTTGAATTTGGGCTTACTGCTATGAAGGTCAACTGGATTAAGGATTCTTCACTGCACCTCACCCCCAAGAAGACCCTGGAAATGATAGCTAAACTAGAAGGGAGAACTCAGGAGTGACAGAACTCTTGCTAACCCATGGATGGCAGAATTCCTTTTTCATGGGTGGTGGGAGAGAGATGGAGGTCAAAATATTGTAAAAGCTTTTTTTTTTAGATGTATGGAGAGTGAGGCTTGTTGCAGTATGTACTAACTTTTCCGTTGCACAGGACAGTCTTGGGTGGATCCACAATGAGCCAAGCTTGCATGGTGAAAATTCAGAATATTTCAAGCTTAGACAAGGAGGCTCGTTATCAGAGCTCCTGGCCCACCCTCCAAACATCCACGGGGACTGAGAAATTAGAAAACCAGCCAGAACTTTTATGGGCAAATTCATGTATCCCCAAAGGGATGGGAAAGACACACCAGCAGAGACAGCATGCTGGTAGGAATTAGCTTTGTAGCAGCCCTCTCCTATTGGCTGGTTCCCTTGCCCCCCATAATCCTTTGCTGATTCCTTTGGTCAAGGATTTTTGTGAGTCCTGCAGACAAAACTGCTGGACTCTGGCTATCAACTTTTGCTTTCCCAAAAGAAAAGAGTGACATTTTCCAGTCCAAAGTGTGCGTGCGTGTGTGTGTGTGTGTGTGTTTGGGGCAAAGGCACAGAAACGATGCCCACTTCGTTAGGGTGGGCGGCCAGGAGTCTTTGAGAAGAGAGGTCCTGGTTTTGCATTGCTGGCGGGCTTCTCCGATGTCCCTCGTTCAAGGTCCTTCCAGTAAAATCCGGCGGAACGGCTCAAAATCCTCAGGGATAGTATCTGCCAAAAGGGAGAGTGTTTCAGAAAAACAGTGCCAGAACTTCACTGGTTCTGAGCCCACAAAGTTTGGCTGGTGCTCGGCCACTTCCAGTTTCTATGGAGCAGCTGCCTTACTCCTGGGAATTGCCCCTCGCATATTGCCCAGCTATGGGAATTGGAAGCCACCGTTCATACCCATGCAGTGAAATCCTAAGGTTGTCCCCACAGAGTTCCATAGGACTTGTTCCCAGGTAAGTGTATGTCACATTTTTTGGGTAACATTTATACCCCAATTTTTTGGTCTGAGGGGCTCAAGATGGCTTGCACAGTCCTCTGCTCTGAATGTTCACAACAACCCTGTGAGGTAGGTTAGGCCAAGAGTCAGTGGCTGGCCCAGTCACCCAGTTGGCTCCGTGGCCAACTGGGGACTCAGACTCAGGTGTACCTGAGTTCTAGTCCCAATTATGATGCCACATCAGGTCCAGAATGGCCACTTAGGTAGCATTGATCACGTTTGCCACTTACGGACTTGGGCTTGGCTTTGGTGGAGGGTTTTTCTTGCTTTCAGGCCCTCTCTCCACATCCCACCAAAATGCCCTGCTTTCACGGTGAATGCCACCCTATACCGTTTTTGCTCTGACTCCAAGGAAATCGGGCCTCACTGGGGACTACAAAGCTCCACCCAACCGGCCACAGTCGTCTTCGGACGGCTCACCGTTGCAGCGATACTGGAGGTTGGACCAGATGATGTTCTCCTGGGAGAAGCAGAACACCCCCAAGCGCCCGCCTCGCATGGTCGTGTCAATGATGACGCCCGAATCAGCCACCAGCTGCGGTCCTTCGTAAAGCAGCACCCTGTCCGTGGGGGACATAAAGCGTGGAAACATCACCACGGGGCACGATAGGAGAGGGAGACGTGAGCATGGACCTTGGAAGGAGCGTTGCCAGAGTCTAAACACCTGTTTGCTTTTCAGGGGACCGGCTTTCCCCAGCCTGGTACCCACCAGATGTTTGGGGCGACAGCTCCCTGCACCCCAAGTATTAGCCATCCTGGCTGGGGTGACACATGCCTGATTTTGCAGTTGCGACTTCACAAGGGTAAGCGATTTCCTTTTGGGGAATTGATGCTTTTTGTATTTGTTTGTTTATTTTAATGTTGTCCGTGGGGTTGTGAAGAGTCAGGCACGACTTTGCAACAACAACAACAACAATTTATTTTAATAAAATACATTGTAAAGAGAGGGAAAACATATAGGAAAAAGGATGCCAAGGGATATTTGGCAATAATTTATGTATCGACCAAGTTCACCAAAAGGCAAAAATTTCAGGAATGGATGTTTTTGGAAGGCTGTTGGGGCCCCCATCCGCTCCCTGATGCTTGTTCTGAGTTTTGTCCTGTTAAACAGAGATGAGACCAGCCCCAGAGGTCTCCGGGACTGAGAAGAACCCCAAAGTTTCCTGGGACTGCTGTTTTGTCCAGGAAAATGTGTCCCGGGTCTCTCAGCCACGGCTAGGGAGTGTCCACGCCTTCTCAGGGTCCACACCGAGCCGCTCTGGCCAAAATGCAGCGGGATTTGAGTAACTTCCGGAAAATGATGGAGGCTGGCCCGGCCCGGGACATGGAGGGGAGGCCCTGATGGGAAAGGGGGCAGCCTGTGTGTGTGTGGGGGGGGGCTCCTTTTCTCATGCTCTTGCGGAGAAAGGGGGAGAAAGTTCCCAGGGCCGCTGCTGCTCCTCCCTGCGAGGCCCTCTTCTCTTCTCTTCCCGCACAGGCGCTCCCCTCCCACCTCCTTCCATTGTCCAGTTTCTTTTTGCATTTTAAAAAGGCCCGTGGTGGGCCAAAGCATTCCACGGGTTGCCATGGCGACCCAGACAATGGGCCGTGGGGCCCAGCGCCTGAACGGTTCTGGGGAAGGCAGCGTGGGGGGGGCCAGTTCCCAGTGGGAAGGAGCTGCCCCCCCACCCGCTCACAGAGCTGTCAGCTCAACATGAAGGCCGGCCGCGTTATTAAACAGGAAAAGCCCTAGGGAGGGGGCCTGCCGGCGCAGTGTTTACCCCCAAAGCCTTGAGTTGCCCCCACCCCTGCGTAGAAGTTTCCCCTCTTGCGTCTCCTCATGGCCTCCCCACAGCTAGAAACGCCTGCTCTGGCTTTGCCCTCGCAGACGGCTCGAGTGAGCAAGCCAGGCTGCACAAGCCCAGAGTGGGGGGAACGACTACTTGCCCTGCATTTCTACCCCGCCTTTCCTCCGTTTCCGAGGAAGCTGAGGCAACGTACGAGGCTCTCCTCCCCACCATGTCCCCGCTCCTCACCTGATGTAGCCCACCTGGGGCCGATGCAAGAGGCGCCACCGGTAGGAGGTCTTGTCCTTCCACCCCACATTGCGTGGGTCCTTCCAGAGCAGCCGCACGTGGTCGGGCGTGTGGCCCGTGTGCCACAGGGCATTGCGCAGGTATTCGCCTGGGCCCGTGTTGGACTTTATCGCCTGCCGGGGAGAAAGGCAACAAGGGGGTAAGGGAACAGAGAAGAACTGACGTCTTTATCTGCATGCATTTTGTTTGCTTTAATGTTTATATCCACGTTTTAGCTTGCAGGGAAGGCTGACCCAGTGCTCCTCTTCACAACAACCCTGTGAGGTAGGTTAGGAGGAGAGTTAGAGACTGGCCCGAAGTTATCCAGTGAGTGTCATGCCTGAAAAAGGACTTGAAACTCAGGCTCCAGAGCCCCGGTTTCATGCTCTAACCAGTAGGCCACATTTGAACCTTTGTGACAGGAATCGGCCTGTGGACTCCGTGTAATTTCGGACTTCCCTGTGCTTTTAGCTCATGTGTTGAAATGATGAGTGAATCTATGTTATGTCGGGCATCTTTGGTTACGCATGCGATGGGGCAGAGTCAAGAGCCTTGCTAAAAGTGGAGGTACGGGAAGAAAGCTAGGACCCCTCGGCCACCTCCTGACTTCCTCATGGGGGGGGGGCAGCAGTGGCTTCTGCATATAAACAGCCTGCAAGGAAGGGGTTAAAAGTGCAACTCACAGGTGTGGCCTTTGGACCAAGTTCAGTTGCAGGCAACTCTCAGAGCCCTAGAGTTTAGGCCATGCTGGCTGAGGCTTATGGGCATTGTAGTCTGCCCCCCCACCCCCCAGAGGGTACCAGGTCCTGGAATAGGCTATATTAGCTCCACTGTTTGCACAAGTCACTTGGCTATCAGTTGGTTTCTCCTCATGCAGAAGAAGCCGTGATGCTTGACTTGTGGATAAGGGTGGCTTGTATCCTGCCTCACAGCAGACTGACTGGTATTTCTTCTGTTGGACAGTCCTGCACTTGAAGGTTATCCTCTGCATGGTCCAACCCTGGTTTAAAGAGAAGAAACCGAAGAAGGGGGAGCAGAGCAGGGGCCTCGAAGCTGCCCCCCAGAGCTGGTGGTAACTGCATAGTGGATGGAGCTGAGTGGGGAACCTGCTCAGGTGAGCTGCTTTCCTTTTCTGAATTTGCACCTATGTGCATAAATTAGCATGTGCGCACGGTTTACGAACCCTGTCCTCGTTTGCTTTCAAAAATGCCTTCTGCTCTCAGTTTTGGTCATGTGTCAAATGGCAATCCTAGTTGTGCAGGGAGGACTTTTTTTCCTCTTCCCTCCCCATTAGTGTTTCCTTGTATGCCACCTCTGTTCTAGATTGTAAGTCTGTCATAGTTTTACTGATTATATGTAAATCACTCTGAGAGTCTTTTTTTGGTGGAGTGGGCCGAGGAGCAGGATAAAATGCAATAAAGACAGCCAGTGTGGCATAATGTTTATCAAGAGCTGGGAGATCTGGGTTCTAGTCTCATATTCAGCCTTGAAGCTCATTGGGTTCCTTTGGGCCATTTATGAACTCTCAGCCTAACTTACCTCACAGGGTTGTTGTGAAGATAAAACGGAGAAAGCGGGGATTGTGAAAGCAGCTTTGTTTTCCTTGCAGGAAAAATAGCTGATAGAAATATATCAGAAATGAATATTGCCTGGGAAGAGAACACCTAAATTCCAGAAGGTATCTGTGAGTGGAGCGAACAGCATTACCAATGCAGTGCTATATTTCCTGGGTCGTCAGTGCTTGGGGTAGATTATCCCTGAGAACCCTTCTCCCCTAGGGCTTCTCTTGGGGGAGAGCCGCTGACTGACCTTGAGTTGCAAGCTCGGCTCTGCCACGGCACGAAACGGCGTGGCCTGCCAGTAGGTCTGCTCTGTTTGTTTCCACATGACCACGTAGAAGCTGGCGCTGTCTTGGTAGGCAAAGATGAATCCGGCATAGTCATCGTCGGTGATGGTGTTGACGTGGAAGGTGCCCTCAAAGTCCACCCCGTTGAACGCCGTGTATCCTGCCCCACAAAATTGGAGTGCGTTAGGGAGTCCTGCACTGCGAGCCATCAGAAGATGTCCCTCTCACCAGTCACATGTGGCTGAGTGTACAATGACAGGCCCTTCTCACCGCTCAGCAGTTCTGTGACTCCCTTACTTTTGCAATTCTTCCAGAAAGCTCTCAAGAGCCACTTATTCTAGCAGGTCTTCCCTCAAATCCGGGCAATTCTTATTAGCAAGTTTAGTTTGTCATGAATTCTGGTGTAACTGATTTCCCTGAAACATTGCAATAGGCATTTTTAATTGGAACTACTTTGTCTGTGTGGGGGCGGGGGGAGGGTTATGACAGGAGAGGATTCCAGTGTTAGAGGCAGCCCAAAAGGAATTTCCAATAGAAATATCAGCCACATTTGCATGACGCTTCAAAACAGCCTGCCACAAAACCCCAGAAAATGCAGCACTGCAGAGAAGCTTGGGGGTGGGAGGGAAACAAAAGATCCTTTGCATTCTTGCAAAGATGATCAGAACTTCTCAATGGAGGCTGCTAAGGGGAAACCAACACTGCAAATCGGGCTGCAGCTTTTGTTGAATGGAGTGCCAGGTGAGTGAAGAACCTGGTGACTTCTAACTGTTTGGGACTCGTAAGCCCAGTCTAGGAGTAAATCCCTAATAAATTCTTCAGGACATCAGCAGCCATTGACCTAGGCCTTCTGAAAGACAATTTTTCCTCTTCCCTCCTCATCTTTCTTCCTTGCACGTTGCATCTTTTGAAATCGCATGCCTGCAGCAAGACAGTTTTGTCTTACTGAGTGCATAGAAGATGCTGCAGGAAACTTTTAGGCAGAGGAGCAAGATAAAAATGCTTTACATATATCAAATAGCTACATGTGGATATGAGAGAGAATCTTCCTCTGATCACTTTCCATCCTCTACCTACCCCAACCTCCCAGCATGTGGCAGGCCCAGCCCTACCCCTCCTCTGGGTGCCAAGGAGCATTTTGTCTTGTGTAAGTTTAAACAGTCCATGCTTAAATGCCTCTTACCCACAGCCAAGCCTGGGTCACTGTTCATTGTCTGTACAATTTCCATTCCCTGGAAGGTGGGGAGAGAAAAAATATTGCTCACAAGGAGGTTGATGATGGGTTAGAGATGACAGCGCTACCTATCAGGGGCCTCTGTTTCCCTTGGCAGTAAAAACATCAGGATAAACTTGGTAATGTTAAGATTCTGTTCTGCCATGAAGCAGGGAGAGCTGGAATAGGGTGGCTCCTCTTCCCCTGAAAGTATATAAGCAGGACAAATTTCCGCTGAATATCTTCACCATCATAAGGGCCATTCATGGGTGAGAATAAAGAGGGCTTTTTGGTGGTGGTCCCCAGCTCCTGAACACTCTCTCAGGAAACTGTCTGGTTCCCACACAGCTATCTTTCCAACCCCAACTGAAGGCTCTTCTGTTCTCCTGGAATTTTAAAAGGATGTTTAGATTAGTGTTTTAAGATGCAACCCTACACGGGCCTGCGAGTCCATCTAGTCCAATAGAGTCAGCACTGACTGGCAGCTGCCACTCGCCAGACTTGTGGACACGATTCCTTTCTAGCCCTACTGAGCTAGAGATTTTCTGCATCTGCCACAGAGACATACCGCCCTTCCCAAAGTCTCCCCCCAGATAATAAATCCAATTTTGAATGCCAGGCATCCCTCACAATACCTGGTTGAGAACAACCCAGTTGGGATCAATCTGGGCATCGCCCTCGGGATCCAGGATGACCGTCTGGTACGCCCGGAAGTCGGTCAGTGTCACCTCAGAGCTCTCTGGGCACACGTCCAACGGGTCAGCCACGGTGTCATTGTCGAAGTCCTCCTCACAGGCATCGCCCACTCCATTGCCTGAACAGAGCCATAAGCAGGTCTCGATTGATTGATTGATTGATTGATTGGCTGATTTATATCCTGCCTTTCCTGCAAAGGGCTCAAGGCAGCTCACACCATTCTCCTCCTCCGTCTTCTCCCCACAACAGCAACCCTGTGAGGTAGGTTGGGCTGAGAGGCTGTGACTGGCCCAAAGCTGCCCAGTTGGCCCCATGGCTGAGCGGGGACTCGAACCCAGATCCGCTGAGTCCCAGTCCCAGGCTCTTAACCACAACGCCACACTGGCTCATGACATGTGGAGCATGTCAGAGGAATGAGCCTTGCTACGGATCTCTGGCACCAGGGAATCTCTTGTCCCCCGAGTGGTGAGCCGCTTCTCATCCAAGCGCCAAGCTAGATTTCAGAGAAGCTCTCAGGCTGCATTCCAGGGAAGGGTGGGCCAAATCCACAAACAATGTAGATTTCAGCACGTAATAGCTCACTGCTTTCAGTGCCTATAATTTTTATGACATTCCACTTCTATCCCACATTTTTTCCCTCTTTGCTCGGAACCCCAGGCTGCTTACAAGATTTTCTTCCTTTCCAGTTCGTCCTCACAACAACCCTGTGAGGTAGGTTAGGCCAGGAGTCAGCAACGGGCTCAAAGTCACCTGGAGAGCTTCACAGGCTGATGGGGGGCTAGATCCCGGACTTGGTGGTGGAAGTTGCCCCCAAAGCTGCACCTAACAGTCTGCAATTTTATTTAGGTGGCTGTCTTGCTTCATGTAGGGTTAAGGCCCACGAGGGCAACGGAAGGAGGCTGGACCGCTGATTGGAGTTGGTGCAGCTCCACAGCCCTCACCTTCCTCTCTCTGACATTCCCCTTTTTTCTGCTTCCAAGGCCTGGTTGTGATGTTCCTTCCACCCAGGCCTGGCCTGGGGCGCAGGGGCTTGGCCTTTGGACTCCAAGCACCAAGAACAGAGAACTTCAGTGTTAGAATCTGAAAAGTCCTATGGTAGAAGGGCCAAATTCCATTTCAGAGAAGCTGAATTTGGTACAGCCAAAGGCCGAAAAACCTAGTATATGTGAACTGATGCTCTTGTTATGGGAAACGAATCCTTAGGAGAGGCAATTCAACCTTGTAGAATGGGGAAAATATGCCGAAGTTGGGAAGGGATGGGAAGGGAACCACACAGCAGACTGAAGCTGCAGGTGGGCCAAATTCTGCACCTTCAGTGCACCCAAAATAACATCATCCATGCACCAAAAAGCAGCACACTTGGCTACCCTGAAGTTTGCAGAAATACAAATGTTAGCAAAGAAAAGAAACCGAGTGTGTGGGAGGGAACTCGCTGCAAATAGTGAGCTCAGTGGTACTGAATGCTAATTGCCTCCAGGACAGGGGGTGGGGAGACTCACACATCTCCTTAGCTGGTCTGTCGACACCCCCACAAAATAGCACCCCGTGTCCCCCTGACCTGGGCAACTTCAACAGCGGCATCTCCATCAGATTTTCTCTTCCTTCCAAGGACATATCCAAGAACGGAAAACGCAACAGGCGCCAACTCTTCTGCAGAGTTGCAGCTTTTCCTTGGACTGCCTCCCCCTTAAAGGGCACTGCCCAGACCCACCCACCGAGCTTTAGGCAGGGCCGGGAAGCAGGATCTCTGCTCCCAGTCTGAGTCGGCGAGGCTCACCTGGGAGGAGGCAGTTCGATGCACCTGTGCGCACCGAGCACACTTCTCTGAAAAAGAGTTTCTGCAGACGCAGATTCGGTGCCGGCCACGGTCCCACTCACCATCCGAATCCTTCTGGTTGGGGTTGGCAACAAGACGGCAGTTGTCTGGCCCGGGGGGCACGTAGTCGGGGATGCCGTCGTTGTCGTCGTCGTTGTCGCATTCGTCTCCCAGGCCGTCGTTGTCCGAATCTAGCTGAGAGCTGTTTGGAATCTCTGCACAGTTGTCTTTCGTATCCTGGTGACCGTCACCGTCCCTGGCAAAGAGGAAGTGGCAGGAGATGGAGCAACCAGGTGCTGAACTATTGCAAGGGGGCAATATTTGTGGGAGTGGGAGTAAGAGAAGGGCTTTTTTAAAATTATTTTTTGGAGGACTGCAGCTTTTGCTTGCTTTCGGAAGGAGCAATTTTCTAGCCCTTATGGTGATTATCTGAATGTGCTGTTCAATTTTGGAATGCAAAAGCTGGCTGAGGAGGTCTGGAGCAACAGAGAACAAATCTGTTCTACCTTTTGCTGCATGGCAGCCTTTCAAGTTTGTGTGCATGCGTGTGTGTTTAAAGGAGCAAGTTTCTAGGCCTCATGGCTGCAAATAGATGCTAAATTTCAGAACCACAAAGTGTGGCTGAGCATGTGCAAACCTCTGCAGCAACCAAGAAATCCCTGCTTCATGGATTTCCCATGTTTCCCATTTCATGTTTCCCATTTCTACTCCAGGGTAAACAGAGCCAGCTCTTTCAACTTTTGTTTTACAGACCCCCTTCCCAGTGAAGGATTGGTTTTCATCTCTCCAGCAAACACATTTGGGATTTCAAATGGATGTTGGGAATCAAACTGACAGTTCAAAACTTCAGCAGGGGGCTGGACTTGATGACCTCTAGGATCCCTCTCTATACATTTCTAATCCTCCACAGGGGAAGCTTGTACTATTGGGTGCTACAACCAGAAATGAACGTGTAGCCAACACTAGTCTTTGTCGGCACAACCCACCTGCCATTCCCCCTCCCACCCCACATCACGAAATAAACCACTGTTTCCGTGGATGATGGGATGGTTTTTCCTGGTTTTGCAACTTACAGGTCCTCATTGGTGTCACAAACATCTCCCACCAGGTCACTGTCAGCATCTGTCTGAAAGAGACCACAGCCTCAGGTGAGCAAACAGGCAACATGCCTTGCACATATTTGCGACAGCAGCCACTTCTGACTTGTTCAAAACTGGGCTGGATTCTGACATCTCAAAATTTGACTGTCAGGTGCACGTAGGAAAAAGGAAATGGGAGGAAAACATGCATATCTTCTTTGCAAATTTAAAAGTGACAGGATGTCCCATCCTATAGTCTAGAATCTTCAAAACAAGGCTACAACCTTTTTGACCCCAAGGGCTGGGTTAGGTGGGGTGTTTGTGTGTGTGTGTGTGGAGGGGTATCCATACACAGCTGCAGTTAAGATCTTGAAGGGGCCATAGGCTGTGACCCAGGCCTTAAAAATACTACATTAAGAGAAAGCAGTGTGTAAAAATCACACTGCGAGGGTCTCATTTGCTTTCTTTTTTTTCATTTCCATATGCTGATTCTGCTTAAGATGAGTCTTGCCTTTAGAATTCCTACCAGCCTCTTCCCTGTGCATTTTATTGCCCTTTGAACCCAACCTCTTCTAAATCTAGGCTTGTATCACCGCACCAGACGGGACCCTGGCAGGGCATATAAGAATTGTTCCACCTTCTTCAAGCCTTGCTCTTAACTTTTGCCTTGCTGGTGATGCTTTAGATTTCAAGTTAAAGCAAGAGGGCTCACAAAATTAAAATAAAATTCCCGCATGTAGAAAGCTAACATATCAAGGAGATGGGTAGGCCTAGAAACCTCCCTTCAGAGGCTACCTTTCTAGGTTCATGGTTTCCTTTTCCTCCAGAGGAGTATTCAGTCCTGTGAGCCTAAAGTGGTACGGTCCAGATACAGGTTGATTCCCGCCGCCTCCTCCATGAACGCTGGTCCCACCCACCCTGGCTGCTACTTCTTTCATACGAGTCCCGTGAAGGTGTCGTGACGCCTTCCTTCCACCCAGACCCCCAACGTTCATACCTGAGTGGGGTTGCTCATCTCAGGGCAGCTGTCGCAGGCATCTCCCACCCCATCTTCATCACGGTCCGTTTGCAGTGGGTTGGGGACCTTGGGGCAATTATCTAACCCATTGGGGATCCCTAAGGGAGGAGAAACGGGGAACACAGAAACATAGAAACAGAGCGAGTCAGAAGGGGCCTCCCGGGCCATCTAGTCTGACCCCTGGCTCCAGCCGGCTCCGCTCACGACACGCCCACCATGTGCATGTCCAGCCTATCCTTGAACACCCTCACCGATGGGGCCTCAACGACCTCCCGTGGAAGCCCATTCCACGCCCTCGGGGTCCTGACTGTCAGGAAGTGCTTCCTGGCATCCAAATGGAACCTGGGTTCCCTGAGCTTTGCTCCGTTGGAGCGGGGAAGTTCTCACCACATTGGCTTCATTCCACACCGTGCCTTTGGCAGTTCAGCTGCCTCTTCCCCACCTCCCTTTTCCTGCAGTTGCCCCATTACACATCTAGTTGTCCTTCCTCCTTTCTCTTGTTCTTTGTTTTATTTATTTGTTTAAAACTTTTGCATACCGTCTTCTAGCAAACGGTCTCAGGACGGTCTTACAATAACACAAAAGCGGAGCACAGCGTCCATTCAGTATAATAAAAACCCACTTAAAATCTCAAACTAAACCTTAAAATACCGGGAAAATAAAAAGGATTTAGCCTGGCGCCAAAAAAGAATGAAGTGAACCTCTCTGGGGAGTGTGTTTCATAACCAAGGTGCCACTGCAGAGAAGGCTCTTCTCCGGGTAGCCACCCTCTTAATCTCCTTCATGGAGGGCTCCCGGGGAAGGACCTCCGACCCAGATCTTAAGGGGCAGGCATGCACATAGGGAAGGAGATACCACGTCCTTCAGATATCCACGTCCTAAGCCATTTTTCCTCTTCCCTGAACTCTCGTGCCTCCTTCGGTGTTTTCCCAACTTCCCCATTGCAGCCAAAGAGTGGATGCGAACTTTTAAGATCAAATATACCGAGTTAGGATACCCTTCTCTCTTCCGGCTTGCTTCTTTCCCTCCCCACGTGTCTCTAGGCATCCCAGCAGGCTCATAGAGGACTGAGTCCCCTCTGTGACATCACGGCAGCTCAGCCAATCACTGCTTGAGGCTTCATCTCTCTTACAATACGGATTCTCCCATCAGCCTCTGGGCCTCGGATGGGTGTGCGTGCAGGCCAGTTCCAGGCTTGGTCCTCCTGAAGGACAGGGGCTGCCCCAAATGCTTCCCACCCCATTGCTCCCCCTCAGAGCTGGGCCTCACCATCCCCATCGATGTCGTTGTCACACGCGTCTCCTTCCCCGTTGCCGTCCGTGTCCTTCTGGTCATTGTTGGGCACGTTGGGACAGTTGTCACAAGCGTCGCCAAAAGAATCCGTATCGGAATTTTGCTGGTCTTTATTGGGAAAGAGGCGGCAATTGTCCTGCGAGTGAGAGTGGGAAGGAAATATGGCTGACATTTAGATGATGAAGCTGCCGCTGGGCCATCCAATGCAGCCTCGCCTGTTGGGGTTGGCTCTCCATGGACTTATAGAGGGGAGGTTGCCTCAGGAGGTTGCCTGGGATCCCTTTTGTGCAGGGGACGGGCAGTACCTCCGTCCATGGATCATTTGGTCGCTTCCCAGCTTTTGTGGAGGTTCCCCCTCAGTTGGGAAAGTTGCACTGCCTCTCCCAAAGCTTAGCTACTGGTGTCAAGAGAGTCAACCAAAAATAAGCAGGTGTTTTGGCCTCACACATGACCCTGGCCACCCTGACATGCCGCCCTGAGGCCTTCTGACGTGTCATCTGGCCCTCGGGATGAAAGAGGTGGAGCATCCCGGCTTAGGGGTACCTCTACGTTCTTGATCCCGTCTCCATCTGCGTCGTCATCGCACTGGTCCCCAATGCCGTCGTTGTCTGCATCTTCTTGTCCTGAATTTGGTGTGAGGCGGCAGTTGTCCTGAGCGGGAGGCACACGTACAAATGAGACAAGGCATAAAACAGAAGCAGAATCCCTCTATCAGATGTTGTGTTCCTGCAACTGGAGCGCCCCGGGAATGTTGGACTACAATGCTTATCAAACCTCTAGGAGCATGGTCAATGGTCATGCTTGCTGGGGATGATGGGGGTGGTCGTGGGCACCCAGCTGGGGAAGTCTGATCTAGGTGAATAAGTGATATGCAGGTCATCCAGTGGCTGGGGGATAGAGGGAAGTGTAGTCCAAGACACCTGCAGGAAGGTGGGAAATATAGACCAAGACACCTGGGGGTGACAGGCTGGGGAAGGCTCACCTGAGTGACTAAGTGATAGATGAAATGGATGAGCCAATAATTAATATAATGCTGACTATGATAATATATTAATTATTGATATTATATTTATAACATGGGTCTGATTATAATATTTTAATATTAGCACTTTAATTTATTTTAATGTGTGGTCATTCACATTTATGTAACACAGTGAGACAAGCAATCACATCTAATTTAGGAACTGAGCAGAGCTATCAATTATAACTTTTCGAAATGAATTAGTTCGATGTTTCTGCTTCTGCCAGGAATACAGAGTTTTAAGATCCTATTATTAGAGCCAGACATATGTGGACAAAAGCGGAAGCCAAAATGGTTAAATTAGCATCCTTTGAACTCAATCAAACTGGACAGGAAAGCAGAGACTGGTCGTCTTTTCATTTGTTGCTACTATAAAAAGAAAAATGCGTCTGAGAAGGAGCTGGTGATATAATCCAGCCCTTTCCTCTGACAGAGGGAAATGCAGTTATGGGTCTTTTTTGGCCTCGAGGCTGAGCTTCCCCTTCCTCTGAGAAGTGCGTGATTGAACTGCACCTCAGCATGGATCCGGAGTTTTGCTCAGGGCAGCAATCTCTCTCGCTGTCACTGAATAACGTAGAAAACAGAAAGAACGGCACATGGGCAGATGCTTTCTTTGGTGTGCGAGAAGCTGATCTTTCTGGGCCCGTCTCCACCAAGTGTGTGGGGCCGGGCAGCCCCCTCCTGCTCCCCTCACCGCCTCCTACCTGGGAACAGTGCTTGTTGTTGTCGATACACGGCAACGGCTCGTCTGGGTAGCCATCAATATCGGTGTCCCGTCCGCACACGTTTCCGTTTCCGGCCCAGCCCACACTACACTGGGGAGGCAAAGGCAACGCGCTTGCTTGGAAAGCTGTTTTAACCCGCGTCGTGTATATACATCGTTTATATTTTGGTCGGCGTCTGCGCACGAGCGGGGCCGTGTGGCCGCAAGAGGACTCACCGCGCAGGAGACGTCCCCGTTGCGTTCGAAGAGGCAGTAGCCGTTCACGTCACAGGGGTTGTGGCTGGGGCTCTGGCAGGTCTTTTGCGGGGTGCAGCTGCCCGTCTGGTTCCCAAAGAAGCCCGACTTGCAGGGCCCGCATTTGAAGGATCCCTGGGGAGGCCGAAGGAGCAAAACGTTGCGAAGGGAAAGGCAGCTGGCCTGGCTGGCTCTGAAACAAGCCGGAAGCCCAGTGCAGGAAGGAAACACAAACCACTTTGGGGTGTCTGTATTTTAGCAAGCATCCCATCAACCCGACATCCTCCAGGGCAGTGCTGGCAAACCTTTTAGAGACCGAGTGCCTAAACTGCAACCCAAAACCCACTTCTTTATCGCAAAGTGTCAACACTGCAATAAAACCTGAACACTGAGGTTTTAGTTTAGAAAAAACACCTCACAAGCCAGTCCAAGCAAATATATATGTATCCTTGGCAGCGCACTGACCGGCCGTGCGAAAGCTTGGACGAGTCGCAGCTAATGAGTCGCGGCTCGTGACGTCATCGCCTGGCACCACTACTCCTTTCCGACATGGCCCCTCTGTGCGCTGTTTTCTGTTGCCTGGCTGCTGGGGCGATGCTGGGGCGGCTTGGCTCGCATGCCAACAGAGCTTGGGATCAGGTGATTCCTGGACACCCTGCCTGCTCTCTGATCCCCAGGTTTGCTACCATCTTCTCAGTTCAGGCAACTCCTTGCTAAGGGAAGCTGCTGGATTCCCCCTGTGCTGTTCTCACACTCCCCCTGCCCCTTACTGACTGGTCTTCGATCTTTGGCCGGCTCTGCCCCGTCATCTCCTTGAACTCCAAGGACGTACCTGGGCAGCAGGATGAGGTGAACCAATCCCGAGGCACTTGAATGGACTTGTGCTCCTTCCCACTCTGGAGGGGTGTCTGTTTTGGACCCAACTCTCCCCCTGATCCCCAAGCCATAAGTTCCATGGAGACAGACCAGTGGGGAGCTCTTAGCCCGCATAGCATAGTGGCTAGAAAGCCGGGCTGCAAACAGGGAAGCCTTGGTGTGAATCGTTTCCCTCCCCGTTCAGCAATATGGGAGATAATAATTTGGATGTAGTTTACAGGGTCCCTGAGAGGAACTCACCTGGGTGAGGCAGGTGGAATGGGGCAGAGCGAGGGCTGAGCAATGGGGCTGTAGCCGGGGGGCATCCCAGGGCATGGCAGGAGGAGGCAAGCAGGTCTGGCATCAGCAGGGGGCTGACAGAGGGTGCCACCCCGTCCTCCTTTATTTTAACTTCCTTAAAAACATGGCATTGTTCGGGGTGGGCAGGGAAAGTGAAAGGCAACAGCAGCTGGGCTGAGGAACCGGGCTTGCCTTGTGGGAGAAGCTCCGTGCATGTTGAAGCCAGAAAACCTGGGGCAGGTACTTGGTTCAGCATTATTTCTCTCTCTCCTTCCAGGGAGTTCACACTGCAGGAGTGTCCAGAAACACTCCCTCTCTTCTGCGGTGCAGTCCAGCTGGCCACCTCAGACCTCTGGGCCCCTCATTTTGCCCCACCATAATGCATGTGGCATTGTCTAGGCCCCCTGTCGCAGTTTCCCCAGGGACCCTGCTTCCCCAAGTACCAGAGATAGGAAGGGGGTGCCTGCGGTTGACCGCCAAGCTATCCTGTCCTTTCTTTCTCTCAGTTAACACATTTTCTTCTTAGCAGTTTGGAATTGCTGTGAAATAGCTTTCTGTTGCTGCTGCAAACTGTGGGTTTGAAGGAATCATCTAATTGTCTGAGCTGGGGCTCAGGCCTCATCTCTGCCTGGCTATCAGTGTTTAGGGTAAGTGACTTGTCCGGTGCCATGCCGTTCTTGGCAGCCATCTTGTGCTAGTGCCCGGGACAGTTTCTCAAATTGCCAGAAGCGTCCACAGCCCAGGAAGGTTGCCCGGCTCTGTCCGACAGTCTCTGCAGGCTTCAACTCGTGCATGTTTTCCTCAGCTCATGCATGCACAAGACCTCTGGACCCGCAGACTCACCAGAGTGTTGGTACAGATTGCGTTGGGGTCACATCCGCCATTATTTCCATCATTACATTCGTCGATGTCTGTGCAAACCTGGCAAAAACAGGAAAAAGGAGGATGGCCTAGCAAATTAATCTAGTGTGAGAATTTATAGTCCCAGTCCCCCCCCCTTTTTTTGCGGGGGGTGGCTCTCCACCACCAACTTTGCCACTGAAAGGCAATGGTGTGGCTGTTGAAAAGGGGTCGAACTTTTCCTTGAGGGAAATAAGTTGGTTTCTTGCCAACTGGTGTTATGGGGCAATAGTAATTTCAGCAGTGGGCCAACTGGCATTTATTCCAGCTTTTCAAAAGGAAAAAGTTGCTCATCCGGACTTAGATCCAGAAGATAAACTTGTCAGCCGTCTTGGCTGAAACCAGAAGTGCTAGCCTGGCACAGAGCTCACCTGTTTGCTGGCCCGGGCGTAATCAGCTCCCACGCCAGAGATAAGATTCCCTTTGTAGCCAGGTGGGCAAGGCTCACAGCGAAAGCCAGGTGCGGTGTTGAGACACTTGGATCCGGGAAAACAAGGGTTGGCGTGGACACACTGTGGGCAGCGAGAGACGTCAGCCAGAAGCCCGAGACTGCGCCAAGCCCCCTGCTCCTCCGTTCCTCTCCGGCCACGAGCCGTCACTCCGCGCCCTGCCCTGCCCCGCGTACCTCGTTGATGTCGGCACAGTGGGTGCCGTTGCCTTCGAAGCCAGGTGGGCAGGGCCCGCAGCGGTAGCCTGGGTACTCGTAGGTCTCCATGCAGTCAACGCCACTGAAACAAGGACTCGGGTTGCAACGGGAGCGGTGTTCATGGAACCCTGTGGTGGTGGTGGTGGTGGTGGTGGAGGAGGAGGAGGAGGAAGTAATGGGGGTCCAGTGTCCATACACAGGAGTAGAGAAATAATTGGAGGACTGAGAACATATTAGCAATGCTGGCTTCCCTCGCTCCTGCTCACTAGGCAAGTTTCTAGTCCTCAGTATCCTAGGTTAAGCTTGAAACTGTACAGCAGAAACTGGAGCAGAGGTTCCAGTGCAGGGAGGCTGAAGCATTTGGTACAGTTCCTTAGAAAAGACTATTCCCACCTGTTTCTGTGTGGAATAATAAAAAGGAATGGGTGATACTGGTGAGGAGGAGCAACTGATCGATTCCATATTTGTATGGGATTTCTTTCACTTGTTTATCTGTAACTGGCTTGTTTATCTGCCCCAAAGCTTTCAGTATTTATTTATTTGATTTATATCCCCAATTTTTTCCCCCAATGAGCCCAAAGTGGCTTAATCATTCTCCTCCTGCTGCTCTCAATCTTATCCTCACAACAACAGCCCTGTGAGGTAGGTTGAACTAGGATTCTGCGACTGGCCCAAAGTCACCCAATTAGCTCCATGGCCAAATGGATACTAGAACCCAGGTCGCCCGAGTCCCAGTCCTGTGCTCTTAGCCACTATACCACACTGGCTGTTTTAGTACTACCTTCGCCAAACCTGGAGCCCACCAGATGCTTGGATTATGCTTCCCATCAGCCCCAAGCAGCATGGGCAATCAGGGAAGACAAGAGATGTCCTCCAGAAGTTTGGAAGGGCATCAGGTTTGGGGAAGGCTGCTCTGGGGTGTAAAGGTACATGTGGACCATTGCTTTTCCTGAGATGGGAAAACTGGCCAGTCAAAAGCCCCTTAATAATTTAGTGGCATTTCTTGGTGAATACTCAGTTGTAAGCAATTGCCAGAAAAGGCTGTAATCTTCAGGTGACCGGAGCCTTTGTAAAGCTTTGTCGCAGCAGGAGAACCAGCCGATCGCTTTCTGCCCCGCCCCTTCTTGTCCAGCCCCCCCCCCCCCCCGACCCCCCACCTCCCGCGGCACTCACCGCACACCTGGCATTCCATAATGGTGTTCCGGATCAAGGACATCTCCTTCACCTGAAAGGAACGGACAGGCATCACAACCTCGGGAGGGAATGGGCATTGGAAGAAGGACCGGGGCAGGGGCACCTCGTTCCCATTTGCTCCAAACCGAGACGCTGAGCAAGCAGATACCTCAGCATCCCCAACCCTGGGGAGGTGTGCTCCCACGACTGTCCTGCCCACCTGAGCTTACGGGCACTCACCTGGTCGCGCATGTCTTCTTGGAGTTCCATCAGGATCTGGTTGAAGAGAGTCAGCTGCTTCACAAGGGCTTTGGTTTGCTCACCTGCCACACAGTTGGGAAATTCAGATGACCCTTCCCTCGAAGACGCGGGAGAGCCGCTCGAGCCACTCAGAGGATGTGGCCTTTCAGATATCTCGGCCTATCTCTCCCGCCAGCCCTAACCAGTGGTCCACCAAAATTTCTGGAGGTCCACCTGGACAATGCCATCTCTTTGAGGCACACGGACACGAAAACATCCTATCAAAACCAGGATCCCTGCAACGGGTGATGAATTTCCACCCACGGTGGTACAAATTCATGATACTGCCTCTCTTCCCCCCACTCAGATGGCTGATGGAAAGCGCAACACCACTCTTAGGTCCACGGAATATCATGAAGTATTGATCCTTCATGCCGTGCGATGCTCGCTTCCCACTTTCTCCCTGCTGGGGAAGACACGGGCCCATGTAAGCTCTTCGTAGGATAACTCCCAATAGGGAGGGGACGGGGCTTGCTAAGTATGGGGGACTCCCCTGTTATTGCTAATCAATATCTGGAGATAAAAGGAGCAAGCATTATCTTATGCATGCCCTGGTAGCTTCTAAGGCACATGAGCCTGTGCAAGGAACCAAAGCTTCTCTGTGGGGTGCATGAAGACCCATGGAGAGCCGGCCATTCCCCCTCTCTGCTCCAGTTAAAAACCAAAATAGCAACGTGATCCCACAGAGACTTGTGCTAGACAGATTGTTCGCACACCACAAACAACTTGATGGGATATCTGAAATGTTGGAATCCCTTTTGGGATACGATTCCTCGGAGCCTGGATTTACAGACAGACACAAGCAATATGTCACATCATTAAAGGGAAATGAAACAATCAGAGTCATCATCCAACTCACCAAAGAGGGAATTTATCACGTTGGATACTGAAAAGGAGAGAAAGAGATATCAGTTGTAAGTCAACGACTATTAAGGATCCTAGATGTCCAGACGACCAACCCCATCAGGAGAGTAGCCCCCTGTGCCAAAATGTCTTGCTTCAGGGGTGGGCAAGTTGCAGCTCCTGGTGGTTTTAGCCTTCAGCTCCCATCCTAGCCATGTTGCCCACCTCTACTTTAAAGGCATAGTTAGCTAAATCTTCTTTTCTTTTTCAAAAAGTTGGGGAGCTGGCTGGAAGAGGCCATGTGGAAGTAAAGACTTTCATAAGCTCTGAACAATCTGAATGTGTACGTTTTGACCCATTTCCCAAATCCTAAAAGGCAGGCAAATGTAGGAATATCAAAAACTGCCTTAATTATTATTGGCTAGAGAAACGGGACTTCGTATAGATTTAAATATGTTTCTAAGTTACCATAAATGGAAAAAATGTGGGGGCTGACCCAGCAGGACCGATGTTTTTGATGACTGATGTTGTTTTTAGTTTTTCTTTGTTTTAGGGTTATTTTGAATAAAATGTATGATAAAAAAAGAAAAAAAGAAACTGCCTTAAATCGGCCACACTTTCATCTAGTTCAGTGCAAGATGAGCCGCAGTACTGGACGCTACGCCAGGCTAACGAGTCGAGCAGATCCAAAGCACTTTAGCTGGAAAGTGAAGGAAGTTACGGCGCAAAAGGAGAAACCGGCTTCATTTGAGGCTAAAATTACCCAAGAAAGGCAGAAGTGAGCAGCTGGCAGGTTGTTCTCAGAATACAAGACCCTGCGGTTTGGCCGCAGGCGAGCGGATGCGTGTCCATTTTCCCAGAAGAGAATGTTCGGTTGCTTCTCGATGGGGCTGCTTGGTGCCCCTGCCGTGTTCACGGTATCTTTCGCATCCAGGCTGCCAAGATCGGTGTTCCAGAGGCGAGATTCTGAGCGTAACCCCTCTGCGTTTCCCCGGTTCTACTTACCCGTGTTCTGCATGGATTCGTCGCCCTGGAAGGGACACTCGCTTAAGGCCCCCACGCGGCTCATGGATCCTCCCAGAATCAGCTTCAGCGACTCCATGAAGCCCTGAGTGTGGGAATGGGAATGTGCCGTTGAGAACCGAGGATGTGTGCACTGGGCACTGCTCCTTTTTAGCACCACTTCTTTCTGTGTGATTTTTCCCTCCCCGTCGGAGGAAATGCCGGTTCTCAGACAAAATAAATGCCGTTTAGCCTCAGACGAACTTCCAAACCAGATGTTGGTTGGCAACCGGGCACCCTCCAAATATGTTGGACTACAGTTCTCATCTCCCCTGCCAGCTTCACCACTATTGGGGGAGATGGGAATTGTAGTCCGGCATGTCATGGGCGGAGCCTGCTGCAGCTGGGGGTCAGACTAGATGGCCCAGGAGGACCCTTCTGACTCGCTCAGTTTCTATGTAGTCAAAGCATCTGCAGGGCACCATGGCATTGGAGCAGCCTTCTCTCCCAGTCTGATGTTTTCTCGATGGGTCCTGGCCTACAGCTCCCTTGCTGGGGGTGTCAGGCTGGAGGTTTTGGAATTAGAAAAATAAGAACGACTCCCTTTCAGAGCATCTCAAGCAAGGGGAGACACTCGTGTCTGGAGTGATACGGAGCCACTGAGAATCGAGCCAGCTGCTTAATTTTGCATAGTCCCACTCTTTATACCCTGCCTCAGTTCCTCTTCCTCGATCACACCTGGGGAGCACCGGATTTTGGGAGCCGGTCTGTGGCTTTCCTCACCTGCGTGCGGAGGTATGCCTTCTGTCCAGTCCGCACCTCCACCGCCTCCAACTGGACCAGCTCCATGGCTTTCATCTCGGGCAGGGCTACGCTGGAGTCCACCTGCTTGCAATCCACGTACAGCTCCATGGCCAGGTTGCTGCCTTGCAGGCCGGTCACCCGCAGCAAGACCGTGTGGCTGCGGCCGTCCGACAGGTTGGCATTCTGCAGGTTGACCGAGTGGATCTTGCTGTCGGCACGCAGGTACCGGACAAGGACTGGGGAACGAGGGAGAAGAGGAGGCCTGGTTAGCCTCACAGCTGTGCCTGAGCTGCCGTTCTGGCAGAAAAAGACCCAAGCAACAACGACCGGTGTGAGTAACGTCGTAGGAACGGGCAATGGAACGAAAAAGTGGGTTGGAGCGCTTGGGGAAAGCCAGGTGTGGGCGTAGAAAGAGCGGACTACCTGATGCTGTATTAAATGGAGAAACGGTCTGGGTCTAGTCCAGAGAGGACAACCACTGGGAAAGGCTCCCACTCTGGTGTCCGGTTCGAAAGGGTCACAGAGCCGGTGACATGAAAGTTGCTTCTCGGCCCGACCCTGGAGGACCTCTTTCCGCTCTGGGGCCGCATTCCATCCCGGAGGGCCTCTCGAGGGCCGTCGTCCCACAGCGGGCAGGGCCAAAGGCAGAAAGGGGTGGCCCAAACACCAGCCTATTTTTCATCAGCTGCTGCTACAGCTAACTAAGCCTAAAGCAGAGGCATTTCCACCGTTAGAACTGGGCGGATTAGCTCCGGCAAAGCTGGGGAACCAATGGGAGAATGGCTGAGGCTGCGGAGAGCATGCCCACCTGGGAGCTCCAGGTGGACCACCTTTGGTCCACAGACCTGAGCTTCTGCATAGCTGCGGGAAATAAATCCAGGCTAGACCTGCTTGGGAACAAGACATCTTCTGATAAGATGGTCCCCTTCCAGTGTCTTCCCGAAGACCCTCGCCAGACTGATCGTCTGACCCCTTTCTGTCCCCTGCTTCCCCCATCACCTTTGTTGGTCTTGCCAACAATGGAGGCCTCAAACCAGCGGCTGTTGTCCTTCTTGTAGTAGAGCCCAAACAGCACCCCGCCTTGCTTGGGGGGCAAGCGGAAGGTGGAGAGCAGGTAGACGTTGTTGACGGAGATCAGCTCCGTTCGGATCTTGCTGATCACGCTGGCCATGTGTCGCGGCTCCGTCACTGTCAGAAGGTCAATCACTAAGGGAGGAAAAGAACAGACGAGGCTGTGTGTCCCCCCACTGAGTGTGAACTGGCTTGCTTTGAGCATTTTTTCGCAGTGCGTATCACCTTGAGAGGAGTCATACTCCTGAAGGTGGCCTAGGCATCTTTTTTAAATCATTCGAGTAGCAAGACACCAAAGAGCAAGCTGCAAATAGTTTTATTTTTTCATTTAAGGCTTTAAAAAAAAATCCTGCTCGTCCGAAAAAGACAACGGCACACAAGGAAAAATGAACGCGGATGGAAGAGGAGAAGATGAGTGCAAGCAAGGCAGTCCCATGTTGGAGGCTGGGTTTTTCAAAGCGGCGAACAAAAATGGGAAGTGCAGCAGCCGATCTCCACACGAGGTGGCGTCCTTGCTGGATAGCAACTGCACACTAAAGGCCTCAGAACAGTCTTTCCCAACCTGGTGCCCCGTGGAGGCATTTGGACCACAACTCCCAGAATTCCCATCCAGTAGGGCCAGTGAGCGGGAATTCTGGGTGTTGCAGTCCAAACATGTCTGGAAGCCACTATGTTGGGGGAGGCTGTCCTAGAACAGGTCTGTCTCTGTTTTAAGTCTCTAGAACCACAGGCCATGTTCAAGCTATGAGCTAACTTATAGTTAAACCCTGGGACAGCCTCATGGGTCTGAGTTGGGAAGTCATGAGAACAAGTCATGGATGCTACATTTGTTGTTGCTGGAAACCAGGTTTGGCTCACATGTGGCGCCTCCCCTCCCGCCCTTTGTGAGTTAATCAATCCACAGATCCACCCAGCACAGAGCAGAACAGACCCCTCACTTCTCCCCGTTCTGATACGGTACTTCTCTTGTTGCAACTTAACCTTGCCTTGGCCCTTTTTGCAGCTACACAGCACGGCTGGCTCAGATTCAGCCTCGACCGGCGACAATGCAGTCATCCCTCAGGCGGCATTTATGCGGAAATGTATACAAAATGCTTTATGTTATGGTGCAATGTGTGCAGAAGTGTGTATCTTCTGGGGAAAGGCTATTGCAGAATTGCAAAAGTGTTGCGGGGCCCCTTGGATCAGGAGCGCAGAATGATACTGTGGTAGGGGGCTGGATTGTTCCCCCTCCCTCGAAGCCTTGCTCATGCTGAACGGTGTCAGTGAATACTATCTCTTTGCCCAGTCTATCCATGCTCCTCTCTCTCTCTCTCGCTCTCACTCTCTCTCCCCGCTGGGGCATTCTGTGCATCCTCACACTGCAGAGAAGGAAACACAGAACCAGGAGAGGCTCCGCAGGCCAGCGTGGAGGGGCCTGCAAACCGGAGGGTTCTGCATTCTTGCTTTACGTGCTGAAGCATCATGTCCCCTAATCTGAAGCAGAAGGCGGTGGAAAGCACAGGAGCTGGAAGGAAAAAGCCTTCCGCTGAATAAAGTCCCATTCAGTGTTTGTTTACAAGAAGAGCTGTTAACACACAGCCCTGGTTTAAATGCACAGAAGACAAATCAAGATTTGCTTGGGGCTCTGTAACCTTCTAGGGAGAAGAGGAGGTGGTGGTCCCTCCTTGCAGTCCCCTTGGCCAGACCTCCCACAGATATGTGGTGCCTTTAGATACGATTCCACCTGGAATCTGCTCAGAATCCAAGCTGTTGGCGTGGGCAGTGGCACATGTCCCTGCCTGGAATTTTTGGGTACAAACAAATTTGACCAGGAATATGGTTAACACCACATATTTTGGACAACCGGAGTCACAAGGAATGTTAAAACCTTCAGCTTAGGTTGCCGCTTGTGGCCCGTCTAACAGTCGGCCTGGGTTTTGGGGGTTGGTTGCTTGCCTGAGCAGTACAGAAAGTGGACACAGTGCTTGGTGGGTTAGACTGCAATATTCCACTGTGACTTGGGCTTCGTCCACACAAAGTGTGGGTGAGCTTCAGACTCCGGGGCGAGGAGAGGGATCATTCTCCGTCCCCCATGCTTTTCTGTGTTAAAAGCTTCCTGCAAGCCCTTCTTCCCGAAGTACTCAGGATCTACTTGCAAGGAGTTTGGGGTCTTGTTTGTTGTGCACAAACAAAATGAGTTCTAATTAGTTCATCTGACTGAGATGGTATAATTTAGTATCCTGCAATAGCAGGGGGTTGGACCTGATGGCCTTCTGGCCCTTTCCAACTCTAGTATCCTATAATTCTAAATGACACGCCAATTTACTAACTTATTCCCACCTAATTTTATTCCAAGTGTAGACCCTGCCTGAAGAAACCACACTACAGTGGTAGAATAACTCTAGTACTTCAAACGAAGGTGAGAAATACCACCTTTGCATGCTTCCTTCTGCTAAATCACCACTCCACACAGGTAGAAAACACATTTCCCCTTGCATTAATTCCACAAAACACTGTGATTCTCATGTTAATCCTATCCTTTCACCTTCCTCTTCTGACTCTTCTCCATCTACAAGCCATCTCAGTTCACACAGAGGTTTCAGGATATGACCTAGCCAAAGCTCAGGCCCTGACCATTTTCAAAGCCAGAGTTAAGCGTGCGATAGCCACTGGAGTGAAAACCCGCTTAAACGGCTGTGTTACATCCACAAATACTGACCTGGCCTCCAATTTTTCAGACATGAATCGTTTGGATGGAGCGGCAATCGTTTAAAGGAGAGCTGTTCTTCCTGGTGGGAAAACACCTGCAGAAATTCACCTCATCCTGAACTTGAGGATTGCTGATGGCAAGGTGTGAAGAGACCAGGTAGGAGTGAGCATGGGTAGGGGAACTGGCACAACTAGTTGTAAGAATCTACATATTTAAGGATAATATATTTAAGGATGCTTAAGGATCTAGTACACCCAAGGAGCTGATAACTGATGTCAAAGTTCCAGGGTGTGGGTCACTTCTGCTCACTAGTTGGACGTATGTCTGCGTTTGTTAAAACTGTGTTTTGTGCACTGTCATGAACTCATTCATGGGACTGGTCATTTTTTTTTAACCACCATGTTGTTCTAGTTATCCCAATTTGTATGGACTGTACTTTGGGTGTCAGTGTGCTGTAGCAAAACCCATCTCTCTAAACAAGTGAACAACCAGTCTACAGGCCAACAAGATGATAGTGACTCAAAAAGAAAAAAAAAACAGGCTGATGCAGAATCTGTAGGTCATATTCATAGAAATCTGAACTCCCTTGAATCCATTGTGGATTTCACTGGCTGCGTGTGTGGGGAAGCAGGCAGCAGGATGCTAAATGCCAGCCATTGTGTAGAAAACAATGCCTCTCCTTCCATATTATCCCTCAGTAATGCACTATTAATCTATAGCATTAACAAAAGAGGGAGGGGAATGTTTGCATCTGGATGCCCGTCCTTCCTTTACTTTCTGCCTCCTCCTTTTCTTTCCTGTAAGTTTAGCCTGCCCCCATGTAAATAGGCCTGAGGAGAGGGCAGGGATTGGCCACACTCGCTGCTGATGTCGCAAAGGACCGAAGTCTCCCTAGTGATCTTGATACAGGGAGACCAGAGTGCCATTTCTTCGTCTCTCGATTAATAGTCCCAACCTCCCACCCCAAATCTCTCTCTGATACTTAATCCATGTCAAACTCCTGAAAGGAAGCCCTGCTGTACTTGAGGGCACCCTTGCTTCTTTTGCTGAGCGGGGCCCCAGTGGCTCCAAAATCCTGTCCTGGCACCACCAGTAAAGGAAATTTTGTAGGGGCGAACAGTGTGTGTGTGTGTGTGTGTGTGTGTGTGTGTGTGTGTGAGAGAGAGAGAGAGAGAGAGAGAGAGAGAGAGAGAGAGAGAGAGAGACGGCAGGGTGTATTTCAGGCTTTCAACATTCTTCCTGCCTCTCCTACCATTGATTCTTGGACAACCTCTCCAAACCAGCAAAAGATGTTAGCAAATGTTTGAGGACAGAAGTTGACTAGGGAATGATATTGTCATTGCTTTTGCACTGGGGATCAGTCCTACAGTGAAAAGCATTCTGTTTCCTGCAGCTCAGAGGTCAACCGGACGCTTCCGGGATGACTTCAGACCAGGTGTGCTTCCCTTCTTGTTTGCACAGAGCATCTGGTGCCTGGGGGCAGACTGGGCCTGTGCGTGGAGGTTCTACCGCTGCCGTTCTGACAGTAGCGAACAGAACTCAGTAAGAACTGAAACACTGCCAACCGAGATCCCATCCAATCAGCCACCCCATTCCCTGCAGCCAGCCAACCTCATGCCTTCCAGATGTTCTGGGCTCTAGCTCCGCCTGTGCTTGGCTGTGCATTCTGGGGCATTACCCAACACATCTGGATGGTACCTACCTTATTGGTCCTCCTAACCTTTGTTTGTACCTGGCCCACTGCAGGGACATGCCGGCGCTTCTCATAATTCAGCTTTCCTGGCTTAGGAGACCTTAATAGGCTGTGAAATGGTTTCCAAAACCTCCCCACTCCTTTTTTTTGAAGGGCACAATCCGATAGCCCTTTAGCCAGGCAGAAGCCCTACAACTCCCAGCATGCCCCGGGCAACCAGGCAGGTGAAGCAGCAGCTCACGGGGGGCCCTTGACGAGCGACCCCACTGGCCGCTGTCCAGGCGCAACTGCTGAACTCCGGGGGCTTGTGCTGCCTTGGATTCCTCCTGGATCAGCTGGCCTTTGGCCCACACGGGCTTCCTCTCCTGCCAGCCCAACCAAATCCTCCACGTTTTTTTCCCCTGAAGTCAAATGCCCTCCCCCATCCCCTCTTTCCAAACCGCCAGTCTTACGGCCTGCTAAAGACACGCGGTCCCTGCCGCGCATAACTAAGTGCACACGTGTAAGTTATCTCCCCCGCCCCACGTAGCGTAGGCCCGAGTCCTGGCGCTTTTCGGACCTCCCGCCGCCCCCGCGCCCTGCATTCGCCGCATCTCCAGCCATCCCAGGCGCTCGGGATCCCTGGCGCGGCGCCGGCTGGCCGGGTGCGGTGGCGGGTTGCCGCCCCCGGAGCGCAGGCAGCGCACCGAGTGGTGGGCGGCCGGGGGGAGGGCGCGCGTGCCGCAAAGGAACCGCCGGGGGC